AAATAAGTGTCAAAGAGTTACTCTAACCTCCTAAATGGGGCAAGATAAATTGGCCTGATAGCAGTTGGCATGTGCAGCATGCAGCTGACACATATATAAACCCACAAAGCTTCATGCTCACATTGCATCACTGAGTTTGTCTATCCCCATACGTTAGTCTGCCTCCCTGCTCATTTAGGTAACTTATCTGATGCAGGCAAAAATAAAACCAAACAGCTGGTAAAATCTAAACAGCATGCAGCCTTAGCTGGCATGAAACATAATAAAGAAAAATTCTTTATGAACAATTCTTCCAGCAGGACCTGTCATATCTCTTATGAGAAATGTCACAGTTATTAAATAATAATAATGTACCTCACTATGTGCTTTCAGAATAATGAAATGACATGTTTTGCATATTTTTACACGAGCTGTAGCCTCATCCTCTTTTAGGAAACTGTGTTAAATTAGTGACACAAAACAACATATTTAAAGTGAGGAAACCGAGCCTGTTGCAGAGGAGAAAACAAAGTGTGTTGTATAAATGTGTAAACCAGGAATGTCCAACTCTTTTTACATCGTGGGCCACATAAAGCCCATTTTGACCTTTATTGTCCCAGATCAGTGAAACTACATGATGTTACTTACAGCAAACGTTCTGGTAATTTTTTTTGTTTTGCTCGTGTGGACTCACTGTTATTTGATTGTTTATATATTAGCTAATTAACTAAATCTCACCATTTATATAAAAAAAAAAATCCCTTGCAACAGTGGTAGGTCTCAATTTTCCTTTACACGTCGTTCATTCTAACTAAACTTCAGTCAAGCTGGAATTCTCTGATATTCTTCACAAACTGTGTTGTGTTAGCAATAGGTTTCTTTTTCAGAACTTACTTTACGTTTCCTTGAAATATTTGAAAACTTCACAGTAAGCTTTGTATTTACTTTCATCCATAGAGAAAACTTGAGCTGTCTTATGGTATATGTGGAGAAATGATCTCTCAGGCAGGGTTATAGAGGAACGGTGTAATGACTCAGCATCTGTCTGGAGACACCAAAGAGCCTGTTAGGAAAAAAAAAACCTGGCGTTAGCATGTCTTCTCTGCCACATAGCTGCTTCTGTGAGAGTGACAAAGGCAGAGAGGAATGAGCAATGCACCCAAATTTATTCCAATTTCAGGTTGCAGTTTGAAGAACTGGCCAGGGACAATGAAGTCGAGGTTATAGGACTAGTAACTCATTTTTATTATATGTGATTTTTTTCAGTTTATCAGTGGGCACTGTCTGTGTCAAGAAGTGAATAAATAAAAATGAAAGTACATGCGCGCTTTTATCAGGATAGCTCCCACAGTGGACAGGTCCTTTACATCAACCCATAATACTGCATTCTGTTCTCCTCGGCTGAGCATGCTGCAATAAATGCTTCTACGCAAGATGTCTCCTGAATGCTCTTTCTGCATGAGTGAGCCTGCTTTTACCACAACAGTATAGTAGTATATCTTATACAGGCCATCCCTGGTTATGGCCACAGTCAGACCACTCTCACACGAGGCTGTCTCGATCAGAATCTGGGGGAAATAATCAAAGCTGTTTTACCTTTCTGTCTACACTGTGTAACCAGGATATACGAGAACGCCTTTGGCCAACCCTCATTTATTTTTATGCTTTGCTAGAAAAATTTGCAAATAGATGCAGAGATTTACTGAAACATGTAAAAATATAGTTAAATATATTATATAAGCCAACAAGAGTTTTTCAGTTTTATCAATATTTTAAGTTATGACCAATTTTGTGAACATTAGATGGATCAACTGAAGTGCCAGATGCATCTCTCAGGTCCTGTGTCGGGTCTTTGCTGGATTCATTCTTATTTCTAAAGGACATGACCATCAGATGTTGTTCGTGTGCTGTAGACAGTTTCTCTTTTGTCCAGTTTCATTAATTTTGTAATTACACACTGCACATCATAAAGACATGTTTCTAGCTAATAGCTCTTTGGTAATCATCTTGTTGATCCAAAACATAATATTTTATGTCAGACTGTGTTATCTTTGGAAATTTTCAAAGTTTCAACTGAAGAATTATTTTTCCAACAGGATGCTAATAACAAATTATCTAAATGTACAACCTAAAATTGGTTCTCTGACAGAGTGATTGGTTGTATGTTATGTGTAGACACAACATTGGTTCATCCCTTAAGTTACCTTTTTATGCTTGAATTATTCATAGGATAGTGTTAAAAGGCTTAGCAAACAAATATCAAGTGCAGGAACTGGACTGAAAATGACAGTGAAAACAGCCAGTATACAAAGAAAGTCAGATTCCTTTAATGACTACTCTAATGTGTATCGGGGAACGCGAAATATCTTACCAATGTGCACCAAACTTCATTTACTGTGAGCTAATTAAAAAAAAGCATCATAATGTTTTGGGAAAGTATAGATAGTTTTGAAAAAAATCTTTAGCCATGGCTCTGTGAGTTTAATACAGTGATAAAATACTCACTGGCATCATTTTTAACATCCTTCTTCTTGTATGTTTTATTTGGGTTTCAGACAACACATCAAAAATATGAATTTTTAACTTCCTTTGTTTAACATATGTTGAGGTCTTGCAACACAGATATGACTCTTTTTCTTCAAGCTGGAGTAAAAGGCTCGTATCTGATTTCACCTTTAAACTCTGTTTGTCACAACCTAAGATATGGTCCAATGTGACAATTCAACAAGGGGGTGCAATAGAAACTAACCCGTTCAACAACACCAAACACAAGAAATGTAGTACTGCCTGTTCAGCCCTACACTGCAAGAGGAAGCTGTGCATCTGAACCATAGCAAGAAGTGCGAGTTGAGAAGGACACTGAATTTGGTTCTGGGATTCAAAATATGAGTAAAATGGAGCAGTAAGTGTTCTAGACTGTTTCCTTCGTGTGTATACGAGTGTCAGAATGCAAATAATATCACAATGTACGAAGCAAATCAAGGCGCATGTTTAAGAATGTGTGCTAGGACAAAAGTAGCACAGTGTGTCGCTCATAAAGACCGACTGCACATGGTACATGACACAACAGCAAAACACAAGCAGGACTGCAACCCTCCTCCCAAAACACTCGCTCACACACACACACACACACACACACACACACACTCACACACACACACACACACACACACACACACACATAACAAAAGCGCAGATGGAAGTAAGCTTAAAGACATAACAGCACGGAGCAGATGTTTCTGCTGAGTGAAAGTTAAGTCAAAAGCCACTGAAGCTTTAAATATTCAAAGTTTAATGCAAATATACAAAATGATACCAGGAATGTACCCCGTTGTTTTAGCGTAGATCTGAAATGTGCATTCAAAGAAACTTTAAAAGTGCTGTAGTAATGATGAATGATGTATTGCTGAGTCGAGGGATCTGTCAAAGTAATGGATGCTCTGGAGTCACTGAGGGATCCATTGTATATTAAAAGGAAGCAGAGTACATATTCTGACCATATTTTAAGTCCACTTGCTTTCTCTGATGGTAGTCAGCTGACCTCTAATCCATGGAACGGTAATTCATCAATTCTACAATTCTTACAAAAAAATGCAATAGAAAATATGTCCAGTAGAATACCAAATACTATGTATTCCTGACCCAACGGGCACACGGTGCCTTTCCAGTCACATGCTGGCACTGCAAAGCAGTAGCTGGCAAAGCTTTAGTGCTATATATCCCTGCCCGTCCCATCCGTTATATTCTCTACAACCAAATTCAATAGTCCATATTGCTTTTGATTATTTCTCACCACTGTTGCTCATTTAATGTGTGATGCTCTACCATGCTCAGTTCTAGTAACAATTAAGTTTAACATCCAGGCATCCATGAAAACAGAATTTATCAAATTTAACGGAGTTAGAGGTTAGCAGGAAGTTAGCTCGCTAGTTTCCACCTAAACATGAGATAGCATGTTCTGACTGAGAGATTTCTGAATGGAATTCAAACGTACAGCTCTGCTATCACTTCCAACATTTGTAGGGTCACTGAAGTTGGGCTAGCTGGTATATAATGATGTGCTACGTGATCACTAGCGACACAGCTATGTCAGCACTACATAAACACATTGAAGCTGGAGGATGAACCCTCATCTTTTTACTCGATAAAAGTCAACGTGAGGGTTCCTGATGGTTAGGGACAAATGCAATCAATGGCAGGATGCTGTAAACGGACCAATCTTCAGTCAGGAGAACATATTCAGGAGGATACACTTAACAAATCGGCTGTATACTTGTTAGAGGTTGGAAAATGATTGTGATACCCAGTAGCTGCATTCTTGACTCTTGTCCATTCTCTCATTGCAGTCCTTCCAGGCAGAAGTCTTCTTGACAGAATTTGATGCATATTCTTAACTCTATATGCCCATGCCTTTAGATCTAGAGGCCTAACCCTAAAGCCTAGAGGCTAACTGGTGATTGCCAGACAGCCACTGGTCACAAGGGAAAAATGAGTGAATGTTGTGAGTGGATGCTGGAGGTTGTTGGCAGCCAAGTACACCTGAGGTCAGTTGTAATTACAAATCAGTTTATTTCCTGACCCATTGACAAGTACTTTCTGGGGGTCCATGGCTGCCATTGCCCCTAGTTGTAGTGAAACTATGAAAAGAGCAATGCAAACCTGAAATGGAGACCCTTGCCTTCAAAGTAAAAGGTGTGTCCTTTAAACTATGTTGGTTTCAGAGTAAGGCGCCATTTTTATGAACATTCTCCTTTTCCAGTTTGTGTTGCACTTTTTCAGTTTTCCCGTTGCTCAGCAGTTAGTGTGTGGTCTTCTATGGAAAATACAGGCAACCGCAGCAATGTGTTAGCAAAGCAATAACAGAATAACAGTTTCAAGTGCAGTATCCTCAAAAAACAGCAACCTCTAGAAATCAAGTGCCAACTGCTTGGCAATACACCAAAAGCAACCGAACGTTGCCAGTGGACTAGTGACCAGTCTCTTGGACTGTATCCCATCTCCATCCATTCATTATGTCCTACCTGTGACTTTGAGTTGCGTTGTCCTTCGCACCAATCTGGATCCATACTGCAATTCACAGGTGTAATTTCCCCCGTCTCCCTCCTCTATCTCAGGTATCCAAATATGTGTAGTATTAACAATGATGGAGCTTCTCCATTCAACCAGCTCACACTCCTAACAGGAGACATAGGCAGAATAGATCAGTCGCAACCTTAAACAGAAGACTCATAAAAACTTTTCTGTCTTCATGCCATACCTTGTACCAGGTCATCTGCGGTTGTTTATATGGAGCCAAATAGTCTTCTATATCAGGACAGTGGATCATTTTGCTGTGGGTTATCTCAGCTTTCTCCAGATGGCGGATTTTGCTACTGAAGCATTTTCCCTCGTCGCTCTCTTCCACGGTCATCGACATGGACACTTTCATGCAGTATGTGGAGTTCCTAAACAGATTAAAAATATACATAAAAAGGTATTCTGTATCACTGCATGTTGACATCTTTCTCGGAGTTGTTGAGAAAAGAAACCACTTGACATCACAAATATAACCCATCTATGCAGTTGTTTCTAAGCCAATTCAAGCACCCTGAAATCAATCTGAGTGGGTTTGTTTTTAGCTGATTTGTTTATCCATTCAAAAGTTAGCTACAACAGTGACATGAGTTATTCAACCATTTGTTCAACACCGAGACTCAAACTGTCAAAGTCTTATAATCTGTGTCAAACAGAGCTATTTTCTGGTGAAAATGCAGGGTGGACCCTTTGGCTCTGTTCTGGTTATTTCTGGTGAAATTATAGGCCCATTGACATCCCAGCTTTTCACTGACACCATTCAAGGAACTGGCAATAAATAAGAGGTTTTACAAACGCCATCATAAACAAAAGATTTCATAAAAAGCATTGCTATACATTGGCTTCATTCTTGCAGATCGCAGTGAGCAAAGATAACTGTACTTGAGAACTGGTGCTCTAAAAATAAAATACACTTTGATTGAAATCAAACATTTTAAAGGAAAGAAATTAGAAAAAATTGACATAATTATATACACCAATTATGAGATTAAACTGTTAGGATCCATCCATGACAACAAAGGGTAAATGGTAATGTTTAGTGCTACTGAATGACAAATAGAGTCACTAAGAAACAAAGTATCAGTCTTTGTGGTTACTGGCATTCTACTGTCAACCAAGGAGCAAAACAAGCGAACTGCAACAGCTTTGCTTTTAAAGAAAACTGTCACGTCAGTCACTTCACACAACAACTGATGAGTAGCGCAGAGACAGAGCTGCATTTAGAGCCCACAAGTGGATTATTGTTCAGAGGCCTGAAGCAGCACGATATTCACACCTGTAGATGTTCTCCACATTAATATTTCAATAAGGTACGATAAGTGACCAGAGCCTGTGATTAATGATGATTATGTTGAATTTCCTTCTCCTGACGTGGCATTTTACATGACTAATGAGTTTGAATTACATAAATCCTTTTTTTTAAAATTATTATTAACAAATAGCCCATAATACCACTGCACAGTGGACAAAACTGGCAATGAATATGTAAAAATGTACCACTGCGTGTATTTAGGAAACTGAATCAAAACTGACTGCTTGGGGTGTTTGTACAAAGATATTAATCGGATCCAGAGCACTCCTGCACATATTAACTTTTATCTTTATGGCAATAATATCAGGGAGCAGCCTCTCTAGAAGCTACACTTTGGTTAGCACGCAAAAGACGTTGTTTATAACGCGAGCACAGAGAATAGCTATTAGTATTTAGCATTGCTGATACTCGTTTGGGGTTTTAAAACCTCGAATGCCTTCATTTCCAAAAGCAGCATGTTACTTGTTTCAATACAAAACACCTAAAGGACAAGTGAGGTCATACTGACACAGGCATAGAGACGAGTTGCTGACAATCTGGCACTGGTCATTTTTATAAGTATGATGTGATTAGTCGCTGGAGGTTGTTAGAAGCTACTACTACAGCCCTTTAATGTTGATCTAGAGAGTGAATTGTGTCAGCCTGATAAACACCGGTTGCTAGAGAAGAGTGTGCACTCTGTGACGTTCCAAAAGGTTAACAGTGTAACAATAGTCACAGACAGTTATACAGTACTACACTAATAACCTCCTTGCAGTTGCTTTGGTTGTTACCAGATTGCCACAGTTTGCAAGTTAATGCCTTCGATGTAATCTCCGTTCACCTTCAAAGTAGAACTTGTGCCGGTACAACTAAAATTGACAGTCTACTAGTGCCTAAAGTAACTGTAAAGGAGTTTTAGACGCAGGCTTTGTGGACATAGATAGTGCAAGCTTTATTAAAAAGCTGATAAACTAAAATCCAGATGGTCCACATGACTGAAGATTAAGATGAGAAACACTGAAGCACGTGGGAGGAAAATATACAATCTGCCAAGGACAAAGGGAAACGCAAGACTACACGGGGGCCTGGTTGGGTGGAGGTGAAAGCAGTCAAACACAAGTGAAGCTAATGAGGACAGCAAACAATAACAAGGAGAGAAGGGAACTAAAGCAAAAACAAGATATGAGAAAACTAACTGTCAGAGTAAAACAGGAATTAACCAAAATAGAAGTAGGTTAGACAAAGAGATAAAGACCAGTGTTAGACTAGGATGTAAGATACAGGGGGACACAAAAGTAAGAGGAAGGGAAGAAGAGAATAACATTAGAAACAAGTGAAAAGTAATAGAAGCCAGAGGGACTGCAAAAGCTTGCTGCGCTGCCCCAAAGGGATAAACCTCAGCCCACTTCGTACAGTAGTTTCTAGACACATAAAATGTTTCTCAGCTCAGTCCAGAAGCCCGTCCACTAAATAAGGTTTACCCCTGCCCTGCCTTTTTGCACCTGCTGCAATTAGCATGCAGCTCCCTGTTGCAGCAGATGTGCAAAAACAGAGCCGAAGCAATTACCTCGAAGACAGGTAGGCTCTGTGGACTGTGTTGATAAAATGGGTGTTGTTATTTGTGCTAGCGAGACATCGGAGGTTACAGCTCACAGTTACATGCTGCCGTCATAACGCCATGTGTGACAGCGTGTCCTTGAGCCAAATTTTTCTAATGAAACAAAACAAGCGAACTTTGAAGTTTGCTTTCATGTGCGTGATGCAACACGCTTTCAACATCGTTTTCGATTTGAAGTCTTAATATCTGCTCAAGGTGATTGTAATTGTTGGTGTGTGTGTGGTTTTTGTGGTTGTGTGTGGGCAGACTTTGCTATGTGTGCTCTCCCAAGTTCACCTCCAAACACAAAACAGCGCATTGATCTCTTAGTCTTACTCCCTCATGCACATACCCCGCCCAACACACACACACACACATTGTCCCTTAACCTCTCATCTAAGTGGATCTAAACCACTTATCCCATCAATGCTCTGTGTGTGTGTGTGTGTGTGTGTGTGTGTGTGTGTGTGTGTGTGTGTGTGTGTGTGTGTGTGTGTGTGTGTGTCTGTCTTACAGGGAACCCTGGATTTTTGTCATTGACCTTACCAAGACCACTGAGCATTGAACTAGAGGCCTGGAAAGCTTTTTATCCATCCATCCCCCAGTTTTTTCTACTCCTCATCAATCTATCTCCAGCCTACAGCATCTTGTTTTCTCCTCCAGTGATTCGGTTACCTTATCCTATACGCTTCTCTGACTTTTCTGTCCCTCTCTGTCTTTTTCTCTCAATCACATATAATTCAGTCTTTTACTAACCCTTCTTATTTTTTGGGATTTGTTTTCACTTTCATATTAGCTACTTAATCACCCTTTATGTATAAATAAAAAAAGACCAAATAGCTAAATAGAAAGAAAGATATGGACCGTATCAGCCCAAATGATTTCCACACCAGCACTGTGTCAACAGGTGCAAGACAGGAGCACGTCAGTAGGAGAGCAGCAGTAATCCCAGAGCTCCATATGTCCCTAAAAACGAATGCGTTTCCGGCAAGGCAAGCTCCAGGTCACCTGTATTTGAGCCCATAAATGACAGAAATAGACTTGAAGTGTAAACACATGTTTCAGACTGTCTTTACAGGAGTACAGCTTGAGAAAAATGTGAGCTGTTGACCAACTGTTTAGACAGCTGAACTGATTCAAGTGTTCTGTCTGATGGCTTTGAGACAACTTGCCTCTTTCACCTAATCACCTTTTTCTATGTAAGCACTTTCTGTCTGCCATTCATAATTTAATGATCTCCTGATATTAGAGGGTTAAAGTACACCAAAAAATCTTCTTTAATTTAAGTTAAATTAGTTTGTTTTTCCTAAAGAAGAAAGGACAACAGTGGCAACAGGTAAGGCGTCTTATTTTTTTAGACCAATAACAAGAATGTGCTTATTCCATCCTAATCAATACGACATTTTTAGTAAAGGCAATGGGCTTTTTTACTGTACAATGTAGCTAAGCTATTCTTTATAATTACATTAACCCTCGTTAGCTGTTATTATGTTTAAAGTGGTATCAAAGCAGGTTGACCAAAGAGGCTACATCAGCTTTTTAAATACATTTAGCCTAAATGTTTACTGCCAGTGAGTTCATTGTGTACCAGGTGTTTTGCAGAAAAAAGGCAAGGTCTAACCAAAATGAAGAAATTACAGTTTTAAAGATGTGGGGTTAAAACTTCCAACAGAGGATAATCTGCAAAGAGTCAAAGAAGCAAAATACCAAGCTGGAAATGAGCATAACAGGTTCCCTTTAAAATACCCCCGTGCATTGTGGCTTAGAGTCATCAACACAAACGTTGATGTTGATGACTCTCAGTCACGATGCAAAATGTTACCCAGTACATTTAAATATGATGTCATAGAGATCCCGAAAAGCGGGACGAATATGGAGCTGGAATGCCACAGCACTGACATCAAAAAACACCTTGTACGTTTCTCTGTGTTGCCAGCTGCTGCTAGCAAAACGGCACTGTTTGCTGCCTTCTTGCATCATCGATAACTCTCTGTCGCTATGTCCCAGCCTGTGGTAGTGCGCACAAGCCGCAATCCTCATTTATTTTACATAATTGCACAACAAACGAGGATTGCGGCTCATGTGCACTACCAGGGCGACCGTGGTTCAGGGGGTTGGGAAGCTCATCTGTAACCGGAAGGTTGCCGGTTTGATTCCCAAGCTATCTCTGTCCTGGTCGTTGTGTCCTTGGGCAAGACACTTTACCCTACCGCCTACTGGTGTTGGCCAGAGGGGCCGATGGCAGCCTCGCTTCTGTCAGTCTTCCCCAGGGCAGCTGTGGCTACAACTGCGGTTTGTCTGCACCAGTGTGTGAATGAATAGTGGAATTGTAAAGCGCTTTGGGTGCCTAGAAAAGCGCTATATAAATGCAATCCATTATTACCACGGGCAATATCAATGTGTGGCAAAATACTTGAATTAAATATCTATATGTATATATACACACACACACACACACACACACACACGCTCTTCCTCAC